TTTCTTGCCAGTACCAAACAATAGTCATAGTCAGCACATGAGTTTCAGAGCCAAAGAGAAATGGTTCAAATCTTGATCTGGGTACTTCCTCACTGTATTACCAAGTTGCATAATTTCTCTAAGCTTCAGTATCTGGGCTGTTGAAAAGATTAAATGTTCAAAATGCTTAGTATAGTGTAGTACCTGTTATATAAAAAGCTATCACTAATGTTAATTATGACTAGTAATACTAATAATAATTTTCCGTTGGCCTACCCTATTGATTTTTAGAGCCACTGGTTCTGCCATGAAACAATTATACTATAGGTAACACAGGCATCAAAGGAGATAAAGCTATAAAAAAAAAAAGTTTCTTAAACTTTGCCCCACATCAGATAGAAAAGAGGAAGATGGGACTTTTCTTACTAAGACGTTTTTGACCTAACTAATAAACTGTAAAGGAAACTGAAAAATGAAACTCAAGTTTTCCTCCTTTCTCCAGCACAAGTTCATTTACAAAGTATTTACCTATTAGCAACCCTCAGTAAAGAGAGAGTGGGGAGGGAGGTGACAAACCCAGTATACATGGGAAAGCTAACATCACCCAGTGGATGAAGCCGAACTTGTCTCCCTGGATCTGCCACACATTTCATAAGTAACCTTGGCCCACATACCCATGTCCAGCTTTTTCACTTTCCTTTTCTCTAAAACTGATTCTGGACTTGATCCAACTTAGCAGAATGACTTAGAGATTTTAAAAACAAACAAAAGATAAGACTGTATACAATAATTTGATGATAAAAATACTGAAAATTTTAAGTGCACATTATATTCAAAATGATAGTTCTACTTAATGACATTAGATATAAAATCCATTTATGTACTTTTCCTTATTTTGCACTTTTTAGAGAAAATTTTAATGTGAAACAAGGGAATATTTGGTAAAATATGAATACTGTATACTACTGAACTCTAAATTTTTATAATTATGATTTCAAACTTCCAGAATATCAGAAGAAAGTCCCAATTTTAATATTTTGATCTGATTAGGAAACTAGAACGGAAAATTGTACCATTTCTCATTATTTCAATATTCGTATAGCTCATAAAATAAAATTCTATAGTTCTTCCTCATTTGTTCCACAGCTAAACTCATGACATATTACAAGCTTAGCAAAAAGCAAAATTCATTTGGTTGTTTTGTTTTAGAAAGTTCTGAGCAAACAGAACCACGACTGAGGTAGAGTAATGCTTTTGGAACTAACTTCACTTTGGTGGCTAAGACTCCAGACACATGCTATCAAATACATAATCATTAGCTATGTATCGATATTATGTATCTTAAATGTGGCTAGTCTGAATTAAGATGTGTAAATTAATAAATGGGATTTTGAAGTTAATACCAAAAAAAGTTAAATATCTCTTTAAAAATTTTTATGATAAAACTGTAAAATGATAATACTTGACTATATGGGAGGTAAATAAAAACATTAAAATTGTTAAAGTACTATGATAATAAAAATATATTCAATTATATTAAAATGATACTTGAATATATTAGCTTAAATAAGACAAGTACTAAATCATTAAATTAGTATTAAATTTAAAAAATGTATTTCCCCCGATTTGTTTTAAATATATTTTTATTGATTTCAGAGAGGAAGGAAGAGATTGAAAACTTTTAAACTACATTTTTGGCTTCTATTATGTTTCTACTGGATAGTGCTGCTCTAAACCAGTGTTATTCCCACTTCTGACATTCATCACTAAGTTTTTTGAAGTGCACCCATCATTAGATCTCTTAGGGAAAGGGGAAGGCTATCTTGTTTTTCAGAGTCAATCATACCATAACTAAGAAATAAGCCATTCTTTACTTGAGAGATACAATCAAGCTTAGGTGGGCCTGTTGCTTGTTCATAGAGAACTCCATTTCCTTCCCATTAATTAGAAAACATTGCTCACCTCTGTGGTTGGTATGGGGATTCCTAGGCCTGACATCCGGACAAGGTCTTCTGTCCTCCATGATTGAATCACTTGAATTCCTCCGAGATCACGCTCCTTTAAGTTATCTGGAAATCTGTACAGGTTAAGAGAAATTAGTGCCCTTGAAACACAGCATCTAGCAGAAAAACCCAGAAAATCATTAAACCAATCCTTCTGTCTCCACATTGTAATTATTTGTTAACTAAGAGTTAAACACATTACGTTTGTTGTTAATCCTCTCCTGAGGATATTTTTCCATTGATTTTTAGAGAGAGTGGAAGGGAGAGACAAAGAGAGAGACACATCTATGAGAGAGACACACTTCTCTGGGTTGCCTTTCTGATGGTAATTGAACCCGGGACCTTTCAGTCCTTGGGGCGACTCTAACCACTGAGACAAACCAGCTAGGACTAAACACAGATTTTAATCATGGGTACAGTGTTCAACTCTGTGAACACCCAGTTATGATATGAAAACATTAAATTCACAAGTTAGATGATTTCAAAGGCTCAAATTACCCCTCCCCCTTCTCTTTATCCTTGCACTTTCGGAAGGTGTCGTTAATTCCCATTCAAAGCTACTGTTTGGTTTATGCCTTTGGCCCAATTACTTAACCAGTTGCTGGGTTTCAATTTCCTCTTCCACAAAGCAGATAAATATTGTTGCCAGGACAGAGAGAAGTACATTTTTGTTAACGGCAAAAACCATGTATTTGCCGAGACCGGTTTGGCCAATGGATAGAGCGTCGGCTTGGGGACTGAAAGGTCCCGGGTTCGATTCCGGTCAAGGGCATGTACCTTGGTTGCAGGCATATCCCCAGTAGGGAGTGTGCAAGAGGCAGCCAATCGATGACTCTCTCTCATCGATGTTTCTAACTCTCTATCTCTCTCCCTTCCTCTCTGTGCAAAATCAATAAAATATATATTTTTTATAAAAAAAAAAAAAAAACCATGTATTTATCACACTATTCAGCATGTGTTATATAGTAGCATTCTATAGCTCACAGTTCTCTACAGTCTGTAAATAAGTAACAAGCAGTTAACCCTTACCCTTACTCTTTGGAATGCAGCCAAATTGGATCAAAAGAAAGAAAAAGATGTTTCCATAAACAGGAGGCTTAGCATCTATGGAATGTTTCCTCAACCAGCTAGAAAAATCTGCAGGACTCTTCTCCTCCTCCTCCTACCGTGATACATTTTAAGAGTGGTCCTATAAGAGGAAGAGGAAGCCCCTTTAAGGCAACTTCTCCACCCGATCGCACACATCCTGTGGGGTGGGGCCAGGGGAAAAGTTGGTGGCTCACCAGTCCTCAGCAAGGGGATTTTTGAGACCTCCTTTCTCACCGAGTTTTTATTTAAACATTCACGGTTGAAAACTGTGAATAGATTCGGCACTCTATGAGGAGTAGCTTTAATCCTCATAAAAAAAAAAGAGTCCCTTTCCTTACGGCTGGCAATATTTTCGGTGATCTGCTTCATCACATCAAACTTGGCTCTCATGACGCAGGTTCAATATTTAGAGTTTACTTTCAATTTCAAAATTTATCTGAGGGGAAAATTCTTTCTTTCTCTTGTTGAAAAAAAAAAAACTAAAATAGAAACTAGGAAATTTTCTGGGATAGAAGGAATGAAAAGGAAAAGAAAAAAATACAAGGGAGGAGGAGCAGAAAGAAACAGGAAATGCTATGAAAAAGGCAGACTAAAGTGTGTTTCTTTGGGAGTCCAGGCCTCAAGGGCAGGAAGAAGGAAATCAGCGATGGCCAGGCTGGTACAGGGATCAACTGATAGCGGGGTGATCAACAGGGCGGAGGAGAGAGGCTGAAACAAGGGGCCAGAGCGGGTTTGGGGGAGGCGGGGGGCGGTGTCTCCAAGGCCCGAGAGTTGAAGAAGGGATGGAGGAGCCCCCGGGGGAGGGAGCCCCCCTCGTCCGGACCGGAATAGTATGGGTTCAGGGAGAGCCAGGGCTGTGTGATGGGGAGATATTGGGCCTCAGGAAGAAGGGGGGGGGGGTGTCTGAGCTCAGTTGGGTTGCTTGCTGAAGTGACGGGGGACCTGGAAACAGAGTCGGGGTGTAGAGGTTGAGGGTCCTTTGTAGAAGATGGGGGGGGGGGGGGGAGGAGGGGAAGACATGAACTTGGTGAGGACTGAGAAAGAGGAAGGAGGTGGGTAGGTAGAGATGGGGGTGGGAGGTAGAGGCGGCGATGGGGGGCACTGGGTGGGTAATGGAGGCGCTGAGGCAGAGGAGGTCACTGGGGGCCGACGTGGGGCTGAGGCGGGGGAGGGAGGTGGCAGGGAAGCTGAGGGGGATACAGGGGCGTGAGGAGAAGGGACAGGGACTCTGAGGTGGAAGATGGGGGCCCGGAGAAAAGTGATGGAAGTAACAGGTGCTGAGAAGGGAAACGGGAACGCCGGGGTCTGAGGAGGCGGCGGGGTGCCCGCGGCGGGCGCCGGGGGTCGCGAGGGCCGGGGCGCGGGTCAGGGGTCACTCACCCGGCTACTGCGCGTCCTCCCGCCGCCGCCGCCGCCTGGTCTGCTCTGGAGTTCGGACCCTGCGACTCCGCCCGGCGCTGCGCTTTCGGTTTCCTTTCCTCACAAACACGGGGCGGGGAAGAAGGGGGAGGCAGGGCGGGCTGACGCGAGGACCGGAGCAGGAGGAGGAGGAGGAGGGGCCCTGGCACTGTCCGCTCCCCCGCCCTCAGACGCAGCCGGGGCGGGCGGGCGTCGCCTCAGCTCCCCACCACGCCTGGGGCGGGCGCGGGGGGGGCGGAGACTGCGGGGGGCGGGCTCGCCGTGCACACGTTCTTCGTAAGCCTCGGCCGGCCCCGAAAGCGGGGCGAACCCAGGGGCTGCTGGATGCGTGTGAGGCGCGACATGGCGGCGAGGCCGACGCGCCCGAGCGGCCCAGTGTGTAAGGGGAAGGGGGCGGAGCTAGAGCGGCCCGGACTACCATCAGATCTCGTTGGAGACTACATTTCCTGCGCTGCCTCGGGAAACCGGAAGTGACGTGTACCATCGCGCAGGCGCAAAGAGGGCCCCCTTCTGGTTATATAAGGGAGGTCCTGTGACCGGCTCGCTCTTTTGCATTCACCTCGCCTTCCTTCTAGCATATCCGTTCCCATGCGTCATCATCATCTGATGTCACCCCGCCTCGGGATCTCAGGGTTATTGCTGTGTGTGGTGAGTTGAGATCTACGATTTTCCCTTCGACATCTCCGTTTCTCCCTTTCTCTTCCCACCTCCCCTGCCCGTGCGTGGCTCCTCTTGCTCTGATCCTAATAGACCTAGGGCCGTGGGTGAGATCTCTTAGAGTTGGGAAGACCCACGCACAGACCTGAGGAGTCCTTGGCTGGTGAAAATGATGACTTTACTTTTTTCCCCATCTAATCGACCATGTTGATTTTCTTTGAATACTTGCCAGTTGGTTCTGATACACCGGCCTCAAAAGGCCCGGCCATGTTCCTTTTCTACTGTGGGAAGATGGCGACTGATGCCTTTTTTTTTTTGTTGTTGTCTCGCAGATGAGCGTGATCCAAAGGTACAGAATGGATCTTGAAGGAAAGGGCCCTTGCTGGGCCTCCAAAGGAACCTCGTGTAGACATCGAGAACCTTTGGCCTCCTGACCTCTAGGGTAAGCATGTGTCCCCTGGCCTACTGTAAGAACCACGTGCTCTCGGGAACTGCTTCCTTTGCTAGCGGAACTGGGAAATAAATTAAAGCTAATTTGTATTAAGCATGTATTAGGTATTCTTTAAATGCTTTATTATAATCCTCAGGAATGTAATATAAGACCTACGTTGCTGAAAAAACATTGAAGAGAAGTAATCTTCCAAAGTGGAATAAACTCTTTAAAGTTGAGGTAACAAACCTCTAGACTAGAGCATTTGAGATTGAGCCAAACATGCCAGCAAGATCTCAGTAGATTGAGATTAGCAAAATTTGCAGCTTTATAAATGAGAGCAGCGATTTTCAACCTTTTTTTCTATCTGTGGCACACATTAACTGGTTCCTAAAGTTTTTCGGCACACTAAATATATTTTTTTCGATTTAACAAAATAGTGTACTTTTGATCCAGTCACACAGAACAATTGTTTTTAGCTCTTGTTTTTTGTTTAAAAAAAGGGAGAGGGATAGAGAGAAACATCAATGTTGTGTAACTCGTTGATCGGTTGCCTCCTGTACACACCTATTCCTGTGGCATACTGGTTGAAAATTGTTGCATTTGAGTTAAATGAGGTGACAAATCTCTAGGATTGAACAAAGGCTAAATGCAGTAACACAAGAATAGCATATAGAGATGGTATTTAGGGAACAAGCTAACGAGTGGTTAAGTATTGAGCTTTGCGAGGGGAAAGTTGGCTGCCCCCCACATGCCCCCTAGTGGGGATTTAGTCTGCAACCTGGGCATGTACACTGATAGGAATCGACCAATTCCCATGTGCCTAACTCTGGAATCCAGGATTGATGCCCCTAAGGGCAGGACTTCTTGGGAGATGTGTCATTAAAATGTAAGATCCTGACATGACACTTGGTCAAAAGCTGGCTCTTTCCAGCTGCAGGTCTGTATCAAATTATTATATGTTCAGAAGGCAGGTTTGTTTGTCTAAAGTGCAGAAATATACCAACATTATCATTTCTAATTCAGGACTTTGTGTATCTGTAGAGTTCCAGAACTTTGTACTGGCATATATGATGACTGAACTTTTTTCCCCGGCAGATCGACCGTGGTGATTCAGCTTCTCTAAGCCAGTTTCTCTGATATGCCAGTTTGAGCGCCTCTTGAATCCCCCACTTCCTAGGACATTTCATTGATTGGAGGCCCTTATGTTTTGTTTTTCCCAGGTTTACTGTTGGCAGACAGCAAGATAAATCCAGGATTGTGGAAATGAAGTGCACAGTTCTCTAAGTGCCCATGCCCACATGGCTGAATGGACAGAGAATCCGGATAATGGAGGAGGTAGTGACTGCTTTCCTTTTGAATGTGAGGCTATCCCCTTTGCTCTTTTCTGTGGCTCAACTGTGGTCATTGCAGCTGATGACATAACTTTTTTCCCCATCAGATCGACCATGTTGATCTAACTAAACTATTTGCCAGTTTTTGTCTGATGCATTGGCCCAAGAACTTCTAGCCCAGTTTTCAAGACCATGTTTCTATATGTGGGTTTTTGTTTTGAAGTGGAGATTGGGCTCTATAGGGTGTTTTTTGTTTTGTTTTACTCTTAGCACATCCAGGTCATTTATCTTTGCTTTATCTTTTAACTATGCAGGTCAGGAACCTTGTGTGTGCCATTGGTCAGAAAGAATTTTAGTCGGAACTTCCTCTTGGCTTGGTTCAGTCTGTCCGGTAGCAGGTAAGGTTTCTGCAAATGGTTGGTGTCAACCCTCTAATAAATAATGACTATTAAATGTGCTAGTGTTCAGGAGTGTTGAGTTTGCTCACAGAACACCCCTTTATCCTTTATCAATGATCACTCATTAAATGTTTGCTGTCTGCAGTTTTTGCCATTTGAAAGTTACTTTCCTAACCTTTTATCCATTTCCTGAGTAATGCATTGGTGCCTCTCCCCCTAGAATCAACAAAAACCTTTTGGTATGTTGGATTTGTCTCAGGTGCAGAATAGACAGGTTATCTCAATAGAGGGAATTGAATTACCTAATTGTAATCTCTTTTCTTTCCAGTTTCTGGCCTGGCCCATGGAGGTGAAATACAAGGCCTCTTGGGAAAGACTGATCATGTATTTTCCTGATAAAGCATAATAAAATTTGTAGGCTTCCTATCTGAAAAAGGAAAATAAAAAGTTTCTAAAATCAAAATGCTCTTGGAGTTGGTTATTGGGGATTAAGAAACACTGACCAAATCTATAATTTTCAAACAGTGGTAAGCATTGAAGTTTTTAGTATTCCTAGAAAAATTATCTGTAAAATGGGTATGAGATCTGAGAATGCTTAGTGTAGCACTTGGTATGGGGTAAGTGTTCAATTAGTAATTGTCCTTGGTCTTTATAGAGGAATGAACTGGTTACATGGGATAACTTGATGCATCCCAAAGACATTACCTTGAGGGAAGAAGCCAGTCTCAAATGCTTGCATGCTCTTATTACCTTGACATTCTGGGAAAAGACAGCTTGATGGGGAAATGATCAGAGATTGCCAGAAGTTCTTCTAGGGGGCAAAAGTGTAAAGTAACAGCATGAGTATTTTTTTGGTGTTAGGTAGTCACGTTTTGTTTTTAAATATTTTTTCATTTATTTTTTAAAATATATTTTGATTTTGTAAAGAGGAAGGGAGACAGATAAGAGAAACATCAATGAGTCATCAATCAGCTGCCTCTTGCACACTCCCTACTGGGTATGTGCCCACAACCAAGGTACATGCCCTTGACCAGGATTGGACCTGGGATCTGCAGGCTATGCATATGTTGAAGATCATAGACATGAAAAAGTCAATTGTATAGTAACTAAAAGGTATGGCACCAGCTCGTTTGGCACAGTGGACAGTCAGCCTGCACACTGAAGGGTCCCAGGTTCTGTTCCAGTCAAGGGCATGTGCCTGGGTGCAGGTTTGATCCCCAGTAGGAGCAGGCAGCCAAATCAATGATTCTCAAACATCTCCAAAGTCAAAGATATTTTTTTTTTTTAAAGTATTGATTTGGCCCTATAACTGGTTTGGCTCTGTGGATAGAGCGTTGGCCTGCGGACTTGATCCCAGGTTCAGATTCCAGTCAAGGAATGTACTGTGATTGCAGGCACATCCTAGTAGGTGTGCAGGAGACAGCTGAGGTTTCTCAATTGTTTCTAACTGCCTGTCCCTTTCTGTAAAAAATCAAAATGTATTTTAAAAGTATTTAGTTGAAACAGGTTTGGCTTTGGATTCTGGCTCTACTGCTTATTAGCCATGTGACTAGTGGTTCACATTTCTGACCCTCATTTGCTTCAGGGAGCTAGGGAGGTAGTGCCCACCTGATGGGTATATTAGCTTCTCAAATGCTATATTTTGGATTTAAAATTGTTTTTTCTAGGCTTTGGAGGGATGCTTCCACACTCGGATTAGGAAGGGGAGAGATTGGAGCCTGGCAGGCTTTTTAGATCCTGCCACCAGAGCTGGGAACTACAGCAGGGGAGCCTGAGAAAGGGCCAGTTGCCTAGGCCTGGATCATGGGGTGCTGACAATTATGCAACAAAAAACATTTACCTCCATCCTTTCCTTTCAATCTAACATCCCAGTAATCAATCTTCACTTTCCCACATTCCCTTAGGTCTATAGTGAGGCATTACTACCAGCATGGCCAGGGCTTCCCATTTTAAAAGGAAGCCAGAAATCCAAATATTGGCATTTGATTCCAAGTTTATAAACTGAAGACTGAGCAACTCATGTATAGGCCTTACATGGCCCCTAGTCCAGTTTGAGAGCTCTGTCACTTCTGGGTCACAAAACAGGATGCCCAGTTGAGTGGCTTTCTCATTGTTTATCTCCTCTCCTAAAATCAATGGAAAAAATATCCAAAAAATAAAGCAGAAAATAAGGTTGGTGAGGATGTAGGGAAATTGGGGCCTTTATGCACTCTTGGTAGAATGTAAATGGCTTAGCAACTATGAGAAATGGTATGGCAAATCCTTAAAAATTAGAAGACCCAGCCAGTGTGGCTCAGTGGTTGAATGTTGACCCAGGAACCAAGAGGTCATGGTTAAGATTCCCAGTTAGGGCACATGCCTGGGTTGGGGCCCCAAACCCTAGTATGAGACAGGAGGCAGCCAATTGATGTTTCTATTTCTCTCCCTTATTCTCTTGGAAAAATAAAAATATATTTTTTAAATTAAAAATGGAACTCCCATGTGATCCAGCAATTTCACTTGGTATTTACCCAAAGGAATTGAAAGGGTCTCAAAGAGGTAGCTATACACCCATATTCATAACGGTTATTCACAATAGCAAAAAGGTGGAAGCAGTCTAAATATCCATCAACATGAATAGATTAAACAAAAGGTGATCTATACATACAACAATATTACTTTCAACCTTAAAAAGGGAGGAAAATCTTAACACGTGCTAAAAGGTGGATAGCCTTAAAGATACCCTTAAAATAAGCCAGTTCCCAAAAGACGAAAAGTATTCCATTTATATGAGAAATCTAGAGTAGACAAACTCAGAAACAAAGTTAAAAACAGTAGAAAGTGGTTGTGCACCCCCTTCCCCCTCCTGAGAGTTGTTCAATGGGTATAGAGTTTCAGTTTTACAAGATGAGAAAATTCTGGAGATTGGTTGCATAACTTAAAGCTACTGAACTATAAACAAAATGGTAAAGATAGTACATTTTATATTGTGTGTATTTTTATCACAATTTTAAAAAACGTTCAAGGCAACAATAAACTGGTAATATGGAATGAGCAATACCCACCACAGTGTTAACATAAAAATAACTTTCTGTGACACACAGACATGAAAGAATTTCACTCAAGGAACTTGTCTTAGAGCTGGTCCCCTCTTAATGAGGCTACTAACGTATGACTCTTGAGGAAGAAAAGTATTTGCCTCTCCTGTTTATGTCTTAAGGTATATTTGGTAACTTTTAGACATCACCTTCCAGAGATATAAGAGCTGTTGGAAATTATTTTGCCCCTCTACTCTAGCCTCATTTTATATATTCAGGAAACTGAGTCCCAGAGAGAGAGCTTGACTTGTCCAAGAACACATGGTAGATTTCTCCTGATACCTGTTTCAGGGACCTTTCTCATTGAGGAATAATGAAGAACGCTCCAGCAATGCCAGAGAGGACTTATCATTAAACTATATTATTTTTGGCCCTGGCTGGGTAGCTCAGTTGGTTAGAATGTAATCTTGATAAGCCAAGGTTGTGGGTTCAATCCCCAGTCAGGGCATGTACAAGAGTCAATGAATGCATGAATGAGTGGAACAGCAATTGACCTTTCTCTCTCTCTCTCTCTCTCTCTCTCTCTCTCTCTCTCTCTCTCTCTCTCTCTCTCTCATATGAATAAAAAGTTAAAAGTAAAGAATATGTAATTTATGAAAAAAGTTTCCATTTTAAGATAAAATGGCTTTCAGGAAAAATTTGAAAGATATAAATAAAACTTGTTTATGTAATTTAAAAAATGATTCTTGCAGTCTATCAAGGTGCACATAAAAACATTGAATGTTTCAGAACATAAAAATAATATATGGCTGTTGTGAAAAATATGTAAAATTTAGAAAAGAAAACAGAACTAATATTAAAATAACAGACTTTCCAGCTAGGAAAAGTCACAGGAAATGCTGTGGGACTCGGAGTGTTGCTGAGAAGGGAAAGGATATTTGAGTCAGTCCTCCAAATCCCATACCCGCCCCAAATACTAATCTCATTCGGATTGGCATCCCATCCTGGGAACAATCACTTCCCAACTGTGAGACCTTAGAAAATCATGTAATTTTTTCTTGCTTCAGTTTTCTTACCTGTAAAACGGAACCCATTAAAAAAAAAAGTCTCACTGGATAGCTGCAAAAATGCAGTATGAAAAATACCTGGCATGAAAGCTCAATAAAGATGCTCAGAAAAAACAACAACCCTGTCCTATGAACAAACAATAGCCACCAAAGATATTAGCAAAATAGGGGGATGAGTGGAGTTGGCAATTTAATGTCAAGCTTATTTAATTTAACCATGGGGTGCTGCCACTAGGGCTTTTTATTTTTTAATCTAGAAAAAGTGAAAAAGTTGAGTTCTCTTCCTCTTTCAGATCCATTTAAAATAATTGTGTGTTTTTCTGGTGCCTCCCTTCCCCCTTTTAAATCTTCTTCCATATGCTGAGTCCCTAATTAAGCAATTGCAAACCTAGGTGAAGTTCTCCCAAGTGAAACATCTTCTAATTTGCTGATTATTACTGGAAAAGCTGGGCAGTGATGCACCTCAGCTGAAGTCAGAGAAAAGCCTCTACCTAATATTAATTGTCTAACCAATATATTATCTGATGCCAAATCCTAAGCTCTTAAAAACTCTTTTGATGCAGAAGAGTTTGGGTGAGATGCACCTAACCCAGAAAAGATGCTAAAGAAACCATCCCTGCAGGAGCACTGGATTGATTATTTATTTATTTATTTATTTATTTATTATTTTTAGCACTGGATTGTTTAAATGAGTTTCACGAGGCCTCCTGGTGGGGGATGTTGATACACTCCAAAGTCAGCCCTGTAGAGTCATCTGGACAACTCTTAAAATTACCAGTAGATAAAAATTGGCTAAATGTTTACCTGAAGGTGGCCTGGAGTGTAGACCTTGAAGCAGGGTGACCTTGGTTTTAGTACTGAAAGTCCCATGTCCTGGAAAAACCCTTTATTCCTGGGCACTCTACCTTGAAGGGTCAAGAGTGAACTTTCTTGTCATTCCATCTTCTCTTTCCAAGCCGTTTTCCATTCATATTCCTGTCTCATCCTCACATCCTTCCAGGGGGTCAGGTAGGTTCTGTGTGTTAAAGATAAAGAGTTGGATTTTGGTGGGTGAGTAGATCAGAGTGCTTTGTACAGCTTTCTAAAATATGTTTCTCAGCCGAGGCCGGTTTGGCTTAATGGATAGAGCATCGGCTTGGGGACTGAAGGGTCCCGGGTTCTATTCTGGTCAAGGGCTTGTACCTTGGTTTCGGCACATCCCCAGTAGGGGGTGTGCAAGAGGCAGCTGATTGATGACTCTCTCTCATTGGTGTTTCTAACTCTCTATCTCTCTCCCTTCCTCTCTGTACAAAATCAATAAAATATATATAAAAAATAAAATAAAATAAAGTATGTTTCTCAGAGTGAAAAAAAAAAAAAAAGTGAACTTTCTGAGATGC